TTTAGTTGGTGTAGTTGATGTAGTTGATGTAGTAGCTGTAGTTGGTGTAATTTGGTGTACTTGGTGTAGTTTTCTGCAGTAGTTGTAGTTTGGTGTAGTTTTTTGTAGTTGGTGTAGTTTGTTGTAGTAGGTGTAGTTTTGTTTGGGTTGGTGTAGTTTTGTGTAGTTGGTGTAGTTTGGTGAAGTAGGTGTAGTTTGGTGTAGTTTTGTGTAGTTGGTGTAGTTTGGTGTAATTGTGTGTAGCTGGTGTAGTTTGGTGTAATTTGGTCTAGTAGGTATAGTTTGGTGTAGTTTTGTGTAGTTAGTGTAGTTTGGTGTAGTTTTATGTAGTTGGTGTAGTTTGGTGTAGTAGGTGTAGTTTTGTGTGGGTTGGTGTAGTTTTGTGTAGTTGGTGTAGTTTGGTGTAGTAGGTGTAGTTTGGTGTAGTTTTGTGTAGTTGGTGTAGTTTTGTGTAGTTGGTGTAGTTTGGTTTAGTTTGGTTTAGTAGGTGTAGTTTGGTGTAGTTTTGTATAGTTGGTTTAGTTTGGTGTAGTTGTGTGTAGTTGGTGTAGTTTGGTGTAGTTTGGTCTAGTAGGTGTAGTTTGGTGTAGTAGGCGTAGTTAGTGCAGTTTGGTGTAGTTTTGTGTAGTTGGTGTAGTGATGTGAAGTTAGTGTAGTTTGGTGTAGTTGGTGTAGTTTGGTGTAGTCTGGTTTAGTAGGTGTATTTTGGTATAGTTTTGTGTAGTTTGTTTAGTTTGGTGTAGTTGGTGTAGTTTGGTGTAGTTGGTGTAGTTTGGTGTAGTTTTGTGTAGTTGGTGTAGTTTGGTGTAGTTGGTGTAGCTTGATTTAGTTTGGTGTAGGTTGATGTNGTTGGTGTAGTGATGTGAAGTTGGTGTAGTTTGGTGTAGTTGGTGTAGTTTGGTGTAGTCTGGTTTAGTAGGTGTATTTTGGTATAGTTTTGTGTAGTTTGTTTAGTTTGGTGTAGTTGGTGTAGTTTGGTGTAGTTGGTGTAGTTTGGTGTAGTTTTGTGTAGTTGGTGTAGTTTGGTGTAGTTGGTGTAGCTTGATTTAGTTTGGTGTAGGTTGATGTAGTTTGGTGTAGTTGATGTAGTTTGGTGTAGTTACTGTAGTTGCTGAAGGACATTAATGGTGGTGATTGGCTAACACCTGTGAAATCTAATGCAACTTTCTGAAGGTTGCTTCTTTGGGAGGCTCGTTACTTTCCGAAACTTTACGGTAGTATACCGATGAGGTGTTTATTACTGCGATCATCTACCCAACATAATACACAAGAAATGTAAAAATAATTTTACCCGTTGAAAGCTTTATAACAAGGTAAATCAATTATGATAATATTTCTAAATAAGCGAGTTAACAAAGCAACATTATTTCCTTAAACACACAACAACAAAAACACCCTCAAAATAAAAAAATATATACATATATTAAAAAAGAAAAAGCGCCGATGACACACACAACAGTTTTTTTGGTGTTCACGTAAGTTAAGATTTACGTAATTTTGGTTATCTCTTATAATAAATCTTGTATAACTACAAAAACTACAACAACTACTCCAAACTACATCAACTACATCAACTACACCAAAATACACCAACCTACACCAAAATACACCAACTACCCCAAACTACAGTAACTACACCAACCACAATAACTACACATACCAGAGCAACTACAGCAACTACACAAACCACGGCAACTACACCAACTACACATACTACACCAACTTCACATACTACACTAACTACACCAACTACACAAACTACACTAACTACACATACTACACCAACTACATATACTACACCAACTACAGTAACTACACCAACTACAGTAACTACACCAACTACATATACTACACAAACTACACTAACTACACCAGCTACAGTAACTATACAAACTACACTAACTACACCAACTACACATACTACAGCAACTACACCAACCACACTAACTAGAACAAATACATATACTACACTAACTACACGAACTACACATACTTCACCAACTACATTAACTACGCTAACTAAACTAACTACACCAACTTCACAAACTACATTAACTACACATACTACAGCAATTACACTTACTACACTAACTACAGTAACTACAGCAACTACACTAACTACACCAACTACACTAACTACACCAAGTACACATACTCAACCAACTACATATTATACTACACCAACTACACCAACTACACTAAGTAAACCAACTACACATACTACACCAACTACATATACTGCACCAACTACACTAACTACACCAACTTCATATACTATACCAACTACACTAAGTAAACCAACTACACATACTACACCAACTACATTTACTACACCAACTGCATATACTACACCTACTACATATACTACCTTAACTACACTAACTACACCAACTACACATAAAACACCAACTACTTTTGGCGCGGTGTCAACAAGATTTTTGCAGGAAATTTCCTCCTAGTGAACAGATCTAGTATTTTTTTCATTTATATTCAGAGCAACTGAAAATAAATAAATGCTGACTCAGTATCAATTGTTTGTTCCTGTCTTGTGCTTATGATCGAAATAAGGGAAAAACGCAAAAAGTCCGCAAAGGACTAAGCGTGCGAAAATTTACACAAACATGCGGATTCCTGTACCAGCTTATGTCAAAGAAGAACGTTTTGAAAGCTTTTTTGATATCACGTTCTATTGTGAACATGTCTGTAAACTGCCAATTATGTATTTAATACGGTGGCCCATAGAGGACACACTACTTACATTTTTATATCGCGTGATAAGTCCAAATTATCGCGCGATAAATTGAAAATTATCGCGCGATAAATCGAACATATCGCGCGATAAATTTCAAAGGCACGGTTACACAGCTCTGCAAGATGCCCGGGATGATCGCTTGAGTTATGGCTGCGACTGTTGACGAGGTATGTGTCAGGTTAGATTTCTTCTCCATTGAAAGAGGTTCCTGGGAAATAATTTGTGTTTTTCCCCATTAATCTTACGTCCTTGTGACTGAATGAGAAAAACAGTCAATTTACTAATGCCTGCGATTGAACGAGCAGAAGTTGTCTGATGCATCGGTTTCTCTGACTCCGAACAAACTTTACTGTCTAATTACAGATTTGTAAATTTCTAGAGGAAAGATTTGTAAACGGAAATGTTATCTCCAGGTTTCGAGAACAAAAGGTAAGAAATACAGGATATTACATGGCCGTGCGGAGATATGAAATTTCACTCAAAGAGAAAATTAGCATCTCTAAGCGGCCATGTAATGTTCTATTTACAATAACCCAGGCGCTTCCCTAGTAAATAATTAATGAGTAAACAACTTGGAGATGACTGGAGACAATTCAGCTATTTACAGGTATCATATAAACACTAATGAAATACCAAACCACTTCACTTTCACCGCGAAAGCGGGATTTATTATGTAACAAGACGCCTAAGGTCGTTTCCGTAGGATGCGTTGGTCTAGGGAAGCATAATGGCGTTCTATCTAGGTAATGGAACAAAACAAAACAAAACACCCGCTTGCTTTATCCAGGGTCGAACCCAGGGTTACAAAGTTCGATAAAGTTCCAATGTTTTAATACAAGATGAAAGTTTAATATTCCAAGATGCTCTTGATACGGTTAAAAATGAATTGCAATGTGTTTCCAAGGTCTCAAAGTTAACATAGTTCCAATGATTATTCCTGATTCCAAGGTATAATAAGTTTACTCATGTCCTGATCCGTGTCCCATCCAGAAGTCCAATCCATGCCGAAAGCGAGTCGTCGATCGACTAGGACAACATTTTCGCGATTTCAACGCCAATCGTCAAGGGTGCGAGTTGAAATTTACGCGATTTAACGTCCCATCGTCAAGGTGTTGTCGATAAGAAAAGAAAAAAAAACTGAACTCTTGCTGTGCTCGGCAAAAACTGGCGAACTCCCAGGAACTCCGAATAGAAAAATCTATCGGAAATCACGGCCCGCAACCAGACGCTAGTAAAGCCTTATGAAAAAGCTAGACCTAAAGAAAAAAGAATCATGAAGGAAAGCAATAATTTGGCTTAGGTCGCCTTTCGTGACTTGCCAGTATCCCGAAGGATTTTGCTGGTTAACAAGCCACCCTAAACCACGAGTGGGAAAACTCAAGCGCGACAAATTTGGCAAGGAACGTTCTGATTTCAACGTTCTTCAGAGGAAGCAAATCGATTAAAAATCGATACAGATTTTGTACAATCTGATTGGTCGGCTTGGAAGAAGAGATAATCGATAAAGATTTTACGTAATCCTATTGGCTGGCTTTGCAATTTTGGGTACAACCGAACCGGATTTTTTACCGTGGGAGTGCCACAGGGATCCCACGGAACAATAGAAATGGTGATCTTTTCACGTGTGAAGATAACATGTTATTTTCACCTGTGAAGATATCATGTTTTCTCGTGAAAGCTCAATTTTATTGGTGTTTACGTAATTATACTGTGGTATCCACGCACGCAAAAGCTGTTTGTTTGGAAATGCTATTATTTGTTTGACCATATAAATAAAAATAGTGCAGGTTAGTTTTCACTCTTACAAATAAAGGTATCTGCTCGTAAGTAATTGAGCCCAGCTACTAACGGACACCCGGGACAAGTCCACCTGGGGATGGGTAATTGTCTCTTTCTGTGCACCCGGGGTTGTGGGAAATTGACCGACAAGTAAGAATAAATNTTCTACCTATACAAATAAAAGGCTATGGGTGGATAGGTATTCGAGCCGCGCAACAGCGGGCCCCGCGGGAACGGCCCGTGGGGGTGGGGTTAGTGTTTGTTTGTGGGGCCGGGGGGGTGGGGGAAATGGACCAAAGAAAAAAAAATAAAGAAGCGCCGGGGGGGGGGGGGGGGGGGGGGGGGGGGGGGGGGGGGGGGGGGGGGGGTGGGTTAAAGGTAGAATAGAATCATGGGTAACCATTATCAATGTTTCAGTGGACACTAGCAACGCCAGCACTGACGATGTTTTAAAATTTTCTTTTCCTAGATGGACGGGTCTGCAGTGCTTTATTCTCCCGAATACTATCTAGTTGAACTTGGACTAGAGACGAGGGGCGACCTGTACGCTCTACGTTCATTTTGTGAACGAAAAGAAAAGCAGACAAAAAGCAAAGATGCTGAAGAACGAAAGCAGTCCTTAATTGATAAAATAAGGTGCAAGAAAGTAAAGCACTCAAGTGGCCCTGAGTCGCAGAAGAAAAATACGCCCTCTAGCTCCTATGGTAAACCGCGAAAATTTGAGTTAGGCTGGCAGCATTTCTCAGAAGTCCAGAAAAGGTTTGTTGCTGTTCGACAGTCCAGAGGAGGGGGGACTAGGTCTGTATCGATGTCAGGCAACAGTACCATTTCCGACATTCTAGAGGAAGCTCGGAACCTGTTTTTCCCTCAAGGAAAATCAGTATATGGAAATTGGATGGACATGGATTGCGAGTTAGCAAACTTTAAGGGTGAAGTGAAAACAAGCCTAACCTCCCATGAAGGTAATGTAATGGACTTCTCTCTTCAATCATACTTCGAACTCCACAAGCTCACTCGTGTCCGCCTGTATCTGAGGACGCGACAAAGAGGAACATCATCCATCTCAGTTGAGGAGGGGGAACCGGAAGCCGAGTCGGACACTCTTGGAGTGCTTAAAGGAAGCTCGCGTGAAAGGGCCAAACTGAGAGAGGAACAAGACGGAGAGTATGCGGAAAGCCTGCGCGCGGACCGCGCGAAAACGGAGCGTAGGGAACAAGCCCTTAAGGAAGAACTAAATAAAGCAAGAAAGGTCGAAGAATTTCACGCCGCTCGCTTGTCAAGAGTGTTAGACGAACCAACGGTAGATGAACCGCGTGTGGTTGTTCGTGTCCGCCACATCGACTTGGGCTTGGTCAATCGTGCCTTCAAACCCAACCAGAAGATGGCGGCAGTGTACGATTGGATTGGCTCGCTGCAGCTTATTCCGCTGTACTTCTCGTTATCCAGCACACCAGGCAATGTGATAGACCCGTCTGTGTCTATATACTACTCAGCTGACAAAGTGTTGTTTATGGAGCAGAGGGATGATCCCATACCATTGTCAGCAGATGACGACGAAGTTTCCTTTAAAGGGTTTTGCGAAATTGGAGAGATTGGAATGACCCCACCAAGTCGTATTATGGCATGGGATATTGATACCGATGAAGAAGGATGTTCAGCGTAAGTCCGTAGTTAGGGATATTGTAAAATAAACTCCATCAAGTTAAGGATATGATAGAGCATGCTGGAACATTAACCATTTTATTCACCAACCAAATACAATTCAAAAACTGCGGACTTTGGGAACAAGATTGACTTTAGTGTAGGTCAGAATGATTCATGCACCGTTGTAAGTAAAGTGAAAAAGGTTGGCAAATTTACATGCTGATGGGTATATACTGACTTTTAAGCAGTGTAAGAAAACCCTTTAATTTGTCTCACTTACCAATATCTCAAAGTTTACCATTCATGTTATAATAATAATAATAATAATAATAATAATAATGATAAATAGTATCACTCCCATTTGGTGATGCGAACCTTTCCATTTACCTTAATTTACAGCAGTGACATTTTGCCGTGGTATTTTTCTGACCAAGATGACGACAAAAAGGTCAGTGCAGTTTACATTGCTGTTATCTTTCAGTGTTGAAGCTTCGTTATCGGTTTACACCTCTACTCCTGCATGTTTAGTCAACCAAAAGTAATTGAAAGTCTCTTAATTAAGAGCCAATGTCTGTAATTTTCGAGAATCGGTTGACAGTCGTGAATTTTTGAATTTCTTCATATTTTGCCCAAATAATCTCTATAGTACACTTATTACAAAAATCACATTAAAACTTGTGACGGCTTTTTATTTTTTCAGGAATCGGGCAAAGTTTGAAAAACGGTAAATCGGCGCTCTTTCGAGTATGAAATTACCGAAAATTGAGCATTTTCTTCACGCTCGTACATAAAAACTGGATAATATCTCTAAATGAAATCAGGTCACAAAACAAACATAGACTTGTGCTTTATAATTCAGCAATTAACTTTAGATAAGCTGTTAAAATGTGACTGTGCCGGCCGCAAGAAGAAACACGGTTTCGGCTCTTTTCAAAAATGGCAAATTTGGGCTAACTTCACCATCGAAAAAACCCAATTGGTACATAGAATTTCAACATGAAATAAACACTGTTTTCAAGCACATTGTTTGCTGTTTCTTGTGTTAAAAAATCTCTCGCGGCATTACAAAAGCGCGTCGCTGAGACACCGAAACGTGGAGGATATTTTCGCACGTGGGAACGGTGACACAAACAAGCCGCAATGAGGGTAGACAAGTGCTGCTTAGCTTCTTTAACAGAGGTTCACAATGCGAAAACTTCTTAAAACCTTTTAAATATGTTTTCAGTTTGTTATAAAGGGCTATGTAGATTAACACTGTATTTGATCGGGTGATTGCATGCAACATTCAAGAAGACAACACATTTCTGGTAGTGTAAATATTGACCCTGAGTTTCTAACTTTTAAGCAAAAGCCACTAAAAACGGCTTGGTATTTCTGAATGGGACACCAGATCTATAGGAATTTTCTTACCTCAGTCATTTCAACTGCAAGTAGCCGCAATTCACTGAAACACTTTTAAAAATTGTTTATATCTGACTTTGTCGTTTAAAACTGAGCGACTTTATATACCGTATGTTGTTGAAAGTATCGTGTGTGATTCGAGTCTGGTCACGCAACTCTGCAGACAAAGCTAAATCACGCCCAAGTGTAAAAAGAATACGTAAAATGCTTTAAAAAGCACCGGTTCTTGTTGGTTTCAGTAGTTTTATAACTTCCACAAAACCTGTCAATCGAACTAAACTACCTGGCGATTTTCTGCTACACTGTAAATATTTTTTCAAATGTGCAACAAACTTGAACCGAGAAAGAAAAAAAATCAGCAGGTGTAAAACCTTTTTGTTGTACCTGTCTTTGCTTGTAATAAACTAACTAAGCCTAACTTCGCTCAGTGTACAGACATCTCTGTCATGCAGAATAGGTGACCACACGTAATCCACATACAAAATAAAAGTTGAGCATGGAATTAAAATTTCTCTCGTTTGTCCATTTTGAAACAGCAAACTACTTAGATTCAAACTGATAATTCTTCATATTGGGAAATGAGCAGATAAAAACCATCCCAAATAATTTGAAGACAAAATAAATAGAATATGGTGAGGAAAATATGTCACTTGGTACAATTCAAGCTGCCGTCATTCTATTAAAGACCCTCTATTAAGGCTAAAGGGTACCCTATGTCCATTTGCGAAACGCTTCACGTCAAAATATTGCGGAAGCTTCTTACGCGTTAGAATCAATCACGCTTACGTATACGTTAACAATTGGGTAATTCTCCGAAAACTGAAAAATGCCTGAATTCAATTGAACTCAAGTTTTAACTAACTTCTTTTCGCTCCAAAAGTAACTGGTTTTCCTGGAAATCTAGGACAATATACTTCTTATCACCTAATTGACTTAAGGCAGTCTTTATACACGCTAACATTTGTCTGCCTGAAAAAAGAAGGCTTGTTTACACGCAACGGGTGAACTATTGAACAGATCTTTTTGCCTTACCAAATTCGCCGATAATGAAATCCACTTAAAAGTTCACAAATCACGTTCAAATCAAACCATTGTTTACGGGTTACGCCCAAGGGACCCAAGGTGGCTCCGTTGTCATTACAGGCGCAATTATGAACTATGACAATGAATAATAATGAATGAATGAGCTATAACTCTTTTCGGTTTTTCGATGGGTATGAAAATTTGAAAAGAACTGCAGGTATCATTTGGCAATAATATGAAACTATATAAAATATTTTCATTTTACTGCTGGTAAGAATTTTTTACGAGTAAGTGCTGAAGTGGACTCAGTCTACTTTTGAAAGAACGGTAATGTGTATATTGCAATATTGCTCCGAAGTTATCGTTCGTTTAAGTCAAAGTTTTAAATGCGCTTGTTAGATCAACGGTACGGTGCCACCGAAATACCAAAACCCCTTTCATCCACACGTGAATAATGGTCTTGGGATGTTAACCCTCGGACGTACAAGAAGGGGGAGTGGATGCCACCCCGCCCCCATTAGGTTTTTCTGAGTTTTTTTCCTAAAGAATAAAACATCAGCACCTGACGTTTTCTGTAGCTGTTCTTTCATCCCTCGCGCAGATTTTGACACAAGTTTGGTGATGGTCAATTGCTATGGTTACGAAATATGACGTCACAAGTAGCAGGTGGTCAAGCCAATTTTGGGTGAAAATACTTGTTTTTTCAACTTCTTTCAACAATAAAAGTAAATCTTGTGGCTAAAATCCTGCAAAGTACTTATTTACGTGTTATCGCGGTTTTATCCTGATTTCTAATTCTTGGTAAAATCCAAGATGGCGGCCAAGATGGCGACCATTGTTGGTGACGTCACAGGCCTCCAGCAGCGCCACTACCCATAAAATATACCTCACCTTGTTGAGAAGAACAAAGGCTTTCCACTAAAGGTAAACTCGTTTCAAAATACTGCAACATATGAAAAACTCCGGGAAGGGGTTCTATCCATCCCCTCCCCCCCGGTTGTACCACGGCAGGGGTATGAATTTGCGTGTACGTCCGAGGGTTAACAACCACGAATCGCGAACAAATAAAAACTTAACTTGAATTACATGAGAAAATCAGTATAGCTCCAGTCACTGGGAGTACGCTAATTTGTTCACTTTCGGGGGTTACAACAGCAGCTATTTACAACTTCTTCTAAAAGTTCCACGTATGGGGCCTTCCTCCTCACTGCTGGTACAGGTGTATTCAGCTCTAAGCGTTCGCAAAGATGTTGGAGTAGTGCCACCTTCGTTTTCCGAAACTCAGATTTATTGTTGACCAGAGAGCATACGTTGTACTGGTCAACAATAATGGGATGACGGAGCTGCAGGGAAGAAAGCACGTTTTCTTTTGCAGTAGCGAAATTGCTTTGCTCCTCTACAGCTAAGGCGTCCTCTTCCAAGACCTCAACCTGTTGCTGACGCACTTTTAGTGCCAGTCGCGAGAAAAAGGAGGACACTTGCTGTGGTGTCAGGAATTCAGAAACAGCGAATAACCTTTCCCCGTCTTTGCCCCTGGAACGGCGCATTTCCTTCGCTACAAAGGCAGGGTCAATCTTACTGCCGGTGGACTGGCCGATATTGAACTTTTCCTCCAAGTAGGTTTTCTGCTTTTGGTTAAAACGGTATGGTTTCTTCACTTGTTTCAGCGCCCACCCTTCCTTGACCTCCTCACGTTGATGTGAACTGCCAACTGAGCTTGGTACTGCTCGCAGTGCAGGAATAAGCCCTACGCCCTCCTGTAGGCGAGCGGCGTATTGATGTTTGGCCAAATCCATCAGGGTGTGCCTTTCTGGAGAGAGGGTACAGGCCTCTAACGACAGGTGACGTTCTAGGGCAGACGCTCTTTGAAAAACTTTAACACAACCTTCTTTAGGGCACGAATAAACATTGGACGGATGCCTTTCAGGGCTACTTTGCTGAACTTCGGGAACTTGGGGGGCTGCCTGGAGTCTAGCATGCGTTGAAGCCGATTTTAGAGTAATTGGTTTAAACCCACCAGCCGAAAAAGAAACAGTAAGCCAGTTATGG